GTTTTTTTTTTTTTTTTTTTTTTTAGAGAGAGAGTGGAAGGGAGCAGGAGAGACAGAAAGAGAGAAACATTGATATGAGAGAGACTCATTGATTGGTTGCTTTCTGCACAAGTCCCAACTGAGGCTGGGGATCGAGCCTGCAACCGAGGTACATGCCCTTGACTGGAATCAAACCCAGGGCCCTTCAGTCTGCAGGTCAATGCTCTACCCACTGAGCCAAACAGGCTAGGGCCATTGCATTATCGTAAAACATGAAACACAGAAAGCTTGTCTGCTGTTTTTCTCTTCTTAATTCACCTTCTCCTTATTGTTTTATCTGTTTGTCTCAGTGCTGATGAAAATTGCCAATCCTGCATTCTTAGACACTGAAAATTACCCTTAGTGCAAAGCAGTTCTCCCATATAGCTCTTGGGGGGAGGGGTCATTTTCCCCATACAACTGTCTTTCCTCTTCTCCCAGCCCTGACCTATGCAGTCATCTTCAGGCAAATGTGGGCAGTCTAACTTCCAGGGCCATTTATCTTTGCCACAATTCTCTGACTAGCCTGGACACATTCATGAAAATGACCTCAGAGGATAGACACCCAACCACCAGAACTCCCAGTCTTTCCCCATCAGCCTGTTCCTAATTGCTCCAAGCAACTTCCAACAAGGACAAAGTGCAACCTCAGACTGTATCAAAGGGAGGTGTATGGACCCACAAATCTCCTGGCCCCAAGAAAAAGTCCCCCAGATAAGGATGATCTATATTTAAAATTATGGTAGGCATTGAGCTGGTGGTGGATAGTTACAATACAATCACCAATTGACACAAAGGTTTTTATTTTTATACTAAAGGCCTGGTGCATGACATTGGTACACTGGGGTGGGGGAGTGCCTCAGCCCAGCCTGCACCCTCTTGCAGTCCGGGACCCCTTGGGGGTTGTTCGACTGCCAGCTTTGGCCTGCTCCCCCGGCCTAAGTCAGCAGTCAGACATCCCCAAGGGATCCTTAGTGCTGCCGCAGAGGCGAGAGAGGCTCCTGCTACCGCCACTGCGCTCACCAGCTGTGAGCCCAGCTTCTGGCTGAGTGGTGCTCCTCCTGTGGGAGAGCATCTGCCCCCTGGTGGTCAGTGTGCGACTGGTCATTCCACCATTCAGTCGATTTGCATATTAGCCTTTTATTATATAGAATATATACGTATATGTATATATATATATATTTAATTTAAGTATATATTTAAATATTTAAAATATAGATAAAAACAGATCAGTCTTATAGAACGCAAAACATAATTTCTCTTAGAAGCAATGTTCAAAGTAGTGGTCAAGATTCCAGCTAGCCTGCTATAGAACTGCTTCTGGGAAAAACTGTGCTCTTCATTTCAACTTGAGATCCCAATAGGAGGAATGTTTCTTTCCATTTCTCCTTACTGTAGTTTCAGGGATAGCAGGGACTTCAGTTCACATCACAAGCAGTTTCATAAACAGTCCCCCTTCCGGTGGTGTGCTGTGTGCTATGGCAGACTGGTGGCTAAGTGGCTCTGGGAGCCGCACGGGTCTGCCTTCCTGGACATAGGCAGTTGAGTGAAGGGGAGTCTCATGACACGGTGGCTAAAAATTAAGCTCCCTGACTTTGTCAGCAGCAAGGAGGAAGCCCCCTGACTTGGGGTCAAAAAGAGGACACCCTCCCACCTCCTGCCACCATGGTAACCATCTGTGTATCAGGAGCATTTTTAGTCCCCAGCCTGCTTGGGCAACTACCAGCACAGATAAAGTGTTAGAAAGTCTATTGTTAATGAGCTTTCCTTCCAGCCTTTTCCCCTTTTCCACAGTGTACAAGCAGGTCACCAATTTCCATGTTGACATTTCCCCTATTCCTCTATAGGTGAAAAGCATGGCCCAGTATGTACACAACATGGACAAACAGGACAATTTTCGGAGGACTCGTTTTTCCGACCGTTTCAAAGACGACATAACTACCATTGTTAACGTGGTCACCTCGGAGATTGCAGCCCTTTTAGTAAAGCCTCAGAAGGTAACTGTGTCGTGTGACTCTATGTTCTAAATTTTTTACCTTGAACATGTTATTTTCATAATCAGAGAAAAATAAGCATCATCTTAAAGCAATAATTTGAATGTAACTAACTATACCTGACAAGCAAATGCTGTTTGTTAAAACTGAATGGGACCTTAGAGTGGTACAGGAGGTTTGCTCTAAAGATATTGCAACATCTAATTACAATAGTTTGAATTATTATATCAATGTAGAAATGAGAGAGAATATTCTTGTCCTTAGGAAATATACCCTGAAGTATTATGGGGTAAATGGGCATGATATTTGCGACCTCCTTTTTTAATGGTTCAGAAAAAGAATTGTATAAAGGGAATGATTAATGTAGCAAAATGTCAAATATTTATGAACCTAGTTGCATCTAATTACAATAGTTTGAATTATTATATCAATGTAGAAATGAGAGAGAATATTCTTGTCCTTAGGAAATATACCCTGAAGTATTATGGGGTAAATGGGCATGATATTTGCGACCTCCTTTTTTAATGGTTCAGAAAAAGAATTGTATAAAGGGAATGATTAATGTAGCAAAATGTCAAATACTTCTGAACCTAGTTGAAGGGTATACAGGAGTTTTTGTACTATTCTTGCACCTTTTTGGTAAGCTTAAAATTACTTTAAAATAGAAAGTTAAATATATAAAATGCAATAAAACAAAAATTTTAAAGGCAGCTATAAAATTTGAAGCAGCAGTGATCATTATTAATACCTTTATCATTATAAAGAACATGTATAGCACCAAGTGCTCAGGAGAAATAACCACTTTTTCTCATGGCAAACTTTCTAAGAATGGCAGTGATATCACCATTTTGGCAGGCATGAAAAATGAGGCACAGTGAGGTTGAGATTTTTAAAAGTCACACAGCTAGCAGCAAAACCAGGACTGACAATTCCATGCCCGAATATTCAGGCAATTATGTATACTACCCAGAGGTGGCCCGTGAGGATGCTGAGAGTGTGAGGACTTGGTGCTCCATGAGATTGTGGAAACTTCTTTATCAGGTCTACATCCATCCCAGTGGCTGGTCTGCTTGGCCTGAATAGCAAGAGGAACATAACATAACAAGAGGAAAATATTTTCAAGATATAACCTAACAAGAGGAAAATATTTTCAAGATATATTTTCAATAGTGTCAGAGAAAACTGATTCAACATTCTGGGACTAGAAGGCATGACCATGCACAAGTGCATCTCGATTGCTCTGAAGTCCTGTAAAACCCCTCATGCACATGAGCCCTATGAAGTAATAAAAAACCCCGGCCTCACTTCATGCAATAATTCACCCTACCATGAGTGACTATGAATTCTTTTAGGCTGGGCATGCTGCCTAATTGGAGAGAAAAAAATCCTTAGGTAAAAATGGATTCTTTTATCCTGATTTGATTTTCTGCAACAATACTTAAAAGAATCTGTCTCATTGAAGATAGTGAATACATTTCAAGTTACTTTTGCCAAAACAGTACTTACCTGAATCAAATAAATTATGATAAAGCCATCTGAAGAAATAGGAGAAACTAGGATGTAGAAAAATGTTTATTATGTAACTAGAGGCCTGGTGCACACGATTTGTGCACTGGAGGGGGAAGGGAGGGGAGGGGGCAACGTGGGTCCCTCAGCCCGGCCTGTGCCTTCTCACATTCCAGGACCCCTCAGGGGATGTCTGCCTGCTGGCTTAGGCCCGATCCCCAGGGGTATCGGGCCTCAGCTGGAGTCAGACATCCATCTCGCAGTCCGGGACCCCTTGCTCCTTACCGCCTGCCTGCAGTGGAGGCAGGAGAAGCTCCCACCACCGCTACTGCGCTCGCCAGCCTTGAGTCCAGCTTCTGGCTGAGCAGTGCCCCCCCTGTGGGAGCACACTGACCACCAGGGGGCAGCTCCTGCATTGAGCATCTGTCCCTTGGTGGTCAGTGTGCATCATAGCGACTGGTTGTTCCTCTGTTTGGTCAATTTGCATATTACGCTTTTATTATATAGGATGTTGAATGAAAAAATTCAGGACCCAGCATTGTATATAGAGAATGAGCTCACTTATATACATATAAATATACATGTAGGGGGGAAAATTAGAAGGAAATGTACCTTACTATTAGCAGTAGATAAAGAATTACTTGATTCAACCTCATGGCATCAGTTAAGTTTTAAACTATATTTGCTCTAATTGTGCAGGGTTACCTGCTTAGCCCAGTGTCTCCTAGAGGAAGGAACACTGATTATAAAAATAGGCCCTGCCTCTCCCAGCTTAAAATGTTTATTATGTAACTAGAGGCCTGGTGCACACGATTTGTGCACTGGAGGGGGAAGGGAGGGGAGGGGGCAACGTGGGTCCCTCAGCCCGGCCTGTGCCTTCTCACATTCCAGGACCCCTCAGGGGATGTCTGCCTGCTGGCTTAGGCCCGATCCCCAGGGGTATCGGGCCTAAGCTGGAGTCAGACATCCATCTCGCAGTCCGGGACCCCTTGCTCCTTACCGCCTGCCTGCAGTGGAGGCAGGAGAAGCTCCCACCACCGCTACTGCGCTCGCCAGCCTTGAGTCCAGCTTCTGGCTGAGCAGTGCCCCCCCTGTGGGAGCACATTGACCACCAGGGGGCAGCTCCTGCATTGAGCATCTGTCCCTTGGTGGTCAGTGTGCATCATAGCGACTGGTTGTTCCTCTGTTTGGTCAATTTGCATATTACGCTTTTATTATATAGGATGTTGAATGAAAAAATTCAGGACCCAGCATTGTATATAGAGAATGAGCTCACTTATATACATATAAATATACATGTAGGGGGGAAAATTAGAAGGAAATGTACCTTACTATTAGCAGTAGATAAAGAATTACTTGATTCAACCTCATGGCATCAGTTAAGTTTTAAACTATATTTGCTCTAATTGTGCAGGGTTACCTGCTTAGCCCAGTGTCTCCTAGAGGAAGGAACACTGATTATAAAAATAGGCCCTGCCTCTCCCAGCTTTCCCACCAGGGACCAGGGGGTTCATGACCAGGGTTTACCACAAAGTGACTTGAGTGTTTATATGTTTGTTTTTAAGGAAACTGAACAGGCGGAGAAGATCAACATCAGCCTGGCTTTCTTCTTGTATGACCTTCTCTCACTTATGGATCGTAGCTTTGTGTTTAACCTCATCAAACACTATTGCAACCAGGTGAGTGTTCCCTCGGACACAGCCATATTGTCCCTGGTTCCTTCTGGTCTGTGTGATGCTCGTTGTCATGGTGAGCTGTCTTATCCACTGCCAAGTTAGACAGCTTGGCTCTTGTACATTCTGAGTCTTATGCCATAGATATCCCTAGACACACTGGTTTGCATGGATTCCTAAAGCATTTACCAACCCAATACAGAAGGGTTAATCAAAGGAAACTGAAATTTGTTACTGATACGGTCAGCTTTCTTCAATTTACATTTAACAGAAATTACATGACCGTAGCATTTTATCTTTGACCAGGCATAGAATTCAAAGTATGAGGTCTCTTTTCACATATTAGGATAATTAATTAAAGTGCATGAGGAGGAGGCACGTCCATTGGCAAGGATGAGACATTGGTTTCCTGTGCCAAGGCGAGAGGGTGTTTATGATGATATATTGAGGGTTTAAAGGTCCATCAAAACCCTTCTTTCTGTGCTTTGCCTTAAGAGAAGCTGCCTCTCATTGGCAGCCTATGGAGTCTGGATCCTTCAGTTGTCACTTTCCCCAAGAGAAGCACGAGATCTCTTCCAGACTGTCACCTGTGTCAGCTTTTCGTTGCTAATTTCATGGTTGGTTTGTTCAAGGGAAGATTTTTTTCAGAAAACTGTTCCAGTTTTCTGTTTCTTTCTCCTCTCCCACTTTGAAGCAAACTCTTTGGCTTTTTTTTGCAAAGTAATTTGATGCTCTCATCCAGGGAACTGGCTTGAGAACTTCCCGTTGGGGTCTTTAATTAGAAACTACAAAAGAACACTTGTGGCATTAAAGCCACCCAGTCATATTCCATTAGTTTTGTGTGGCCCCATGTGGGGGCAACTCCTTTCATTTAGTTTCTTGGACACAGTAGGGTTTTTGTAGAATTAATTATATTCTGTTACACTGAAGACATACTTCCAGATTATGAACAGAGCCTTGTCTTGGTATTACAGATTTGACAAGACTGGGGTTTGGGGAAAGAGTTCTCATTTTGGGCAGTTTTTAGGCTAGGAATCATGAGGGGACACAGGTAGTGGATGAAAACCTTTTGGGCCTCCCTGTAATACAGAGTTTGCCATCTGTGGTACTGCCCCATTCATTTTTATTAATCTGGGGTGAAAGGATATTTTTGTGTCTGTCAACCTCAACTCCATTCACCTTATAATAAATGCTTCTTTCCTTTCCCCATTGTTCTCCCCAGCTGTCAGCCAAGCTGAACAACCTCGCGACGCTCATCTCCATGAGGCTAGAGTTCCTGAGAATCCTCTGTAGCCATGAACATTACCTCAACCTGAACCTCTTCTTTATGAGCTCGGACACTGCTCCAGCATCTCCCTGCCCCTCCATATCTTCCCAGGTAACCCGTTACCTGAAAGAGTTATACACACGATTTCATTTAATTAGCTTAATTTAGTAATTTGTTCTCTAAAAGTTGGCGTTATTAATTTTTAAAGAATCAAGCCTGGTTGGTGTGGCTCAGTAGTTGAACCAGGAGGTCACACAGTTCAATTCCTGGTCAGGGCATATATCTGGGTTTTGAGCTGGATCCCCAGTAGGGGGTGTGCAGGAGGCAGCTGATCAATGATTCTCTCTCATCATTGATGTTTCTATCTCTCTCTTCTTCTCCCTTCCTCTCTGAAATCAATAAAAATATATTTTAAAAAAGAAAAATCAAGTTATTGAAACAGATCAATTGATTCAGATACATATAAATATACTTCCCAAAGTTGTACCATCTAACTAATCATTTACATACTAAGTGGTTGATTTCTCTCTAGGCTCTAGAATAAGAAATCCATATATACTATGAAAAATCAGAAATTTGTAGAAAAGTCACGTCTTCTTTTGTCTCACATTAATCATCTTTCTACTTCAGCTTGACAGTCTCCTCTACTCACTTCACTTTCCTGAAACCCAGCACCATGAAATTTATGAAGTTGCAGGTTCCTTTATATTGATTCCAAAATGATCTAATAGTGGTTTTTTAAATATATTTTTATTGATTTCAGAGAGGAAGAGAGAGGGAGAGAGAGAGAGAAACATCAATGATGAGAGAGAATCATCAATCAGCTGCCTCTAATAGTGGTTTTTAATGTGGATTTTATATCCTTGATCTCTCTCAGAACTTTTTGCTGGTACTGTTATAGAATGGAATTCAGCACAAGATGAGTCCACCTTGAATCACATTCCAGGTCATTTGGCTCATGAAACACTGAAAAGATGGCACCATAAACTAAGCAAATGGCCTGTTGTATAGGGAATATATTTCTAACAAGTTTTGTTCATGATCAGTCAGAAAGAGGAACACTTGTATTAATATTTATACACAGGAGTTCCACCAATCATTTTTTGTAGAACATTATTTTTCAAGTTAGGCTCAGTGGGCCCCGGATTCTATAGGATGTTGAGAGGTATTATGCAAATACAGGATTCCAAAGTCTAATCAGTTTGGAACCCCTGTGTTAGCAGGTTTCTTTGCTGAAGGCCAACTAAGAGTCTCTGACTTGGTGTAAATTGTAAATGCCCCGGGGCGGAGGAGGCAATGGGAAGGAGGTGTATGATGAGCAGTGATTCCCAAAATGATCTGACTCCAGAAACTTTTGTTTTTCCTCCATAGATTTCTCAAGGGGCTAGTGTCCTCTAGAAAAGCTTTAAGGAAATGCTATTTTTATAGTCACATTTCATTTACAGGGAACAAATCAGTAGCTCAGAGAAGCAGGTATGATTTCTCAATATTGGGTTCTATTTTTGTTGCATATTTCTTGATACTAGCACAAAGGTGAAGGTCTGTCTTATTAATTAAAAAGTAATAATTTTGGCCATTCATGCCCAAAGACATGATCTAGATATTAGCTATGCGACCATCTGAATGAGAACTGGGAATGGTGTCTTACAAGCTGCAATTCCACATGTGCTCACTTTGCCCCAGGTCCTTGCCCACGTTCCCTCTGACTACCCCAGGGAGTGAGCAAACCCAGGGGCCAGCCGAGTCCCACCAAACATCAAGGATTCCAGAGACATTTTAGATTCTCTTAGTGAAATATAAAGTGTGCCGCAGGATAAGAGCACAGGAATTACCTGGGACTGGTCCGACACTTCCCTGCCTTGACACCGCTTTTAGTTTCCAGGCCAGAAACATTTAGACACTGTGTGTAAACCATGTTTAGAAGTGCAGCTCAGTATACAAGCCCTGTTCACTATAAAGGGGGCAGTTTGTTAGAGAGGAATTGCCTGCTCACAGCTGCAGCGTTGGATCCCGTTCCCATTTCCCTGTCCAAGCGTTGTCCTGGGATTTTCATCTTCAACTTTTGGTTGCTTGTGAGGAAGGGAGTGTTCGCGTCGTGTGACAGAACCTGAGTGCTTTATTTTCATCTTTCCCAATGGGCAGTTTTCCACCTGTGAGGATGGGAAAGCTAAGTGACCACTCTAGTCTCATCTGTCCCATAGGGAGAGTAGTGATGATCCTGCCTCACTGGGTTGTGCTTACCAAGCTTGGCCGTACTCATGCTCAATAAATACCAGCTCTTGTGGTCTTAGTCCCAGTTCTTGTTACTCAGACAGCTGCTCCTTGCATTTCTGTAGAACTCGAGTTCCTGCTCCAGTTTCCAGGACCAGAAGATCGCCAACATGTTCGACCTGACTCCTGAGTTCCGCCAGCAGCACTTCCTCACCGGCCTTCTCTTCACGGAACTGGCTGCTGCCCTGGATGCGGAAGGGGAAGGGTATGTTTCTGACACTAATAATGGGATACGAAGCACACACAAAAATGCTACCTGCTACTGTTTGCAGTTCAACATTCAGTCCCTGGCACCTTTGTACCCACTAGGATGGCTATAATAAAAAAGACTGATAATGGCAAGTGTTGGCAAATGGAATATGGAAACTTCATGCTCTCCTGCTAGGAATGTAAAGTGGCGTAGCCACTGTTGAAAACAGTGTGGCAGTTCCCCTAAACGTTAAACATAGAGTTACCATGTGACCCAGTAATTCTACTCTGTGGTATATGCTCAAGAGAAGTAAAACTTATACCACACAAAAACATAAACAGAAATATTCATAGCAGCATTCACAATTCATAATAGTCAAAAAGTGGAAAGAGTCCAAATGTCCACCAGTTGATGACTGGATGAATAAAATGTAATATATTCATCCTTGCCATCATGGCTCAGTAGGTAAGCATCGATCTATGAACCAATAGGTCATAGTTCAGTTCTTGGTCAGGGCACATGCCCAAGTTGTGGGCTCGATCCCCAGTGTGGGCCATGCAAGAGGCAGCCAATCAATAATTCTCTCTCATCATTGGTGTTTTTATCTCTCTCTCTCCTTCTCCCTTCCTCTCTGAAATCAATAAAAAATATATTTTAAAATAAATAAAATAAAGTGTGATATATTCATACAATATTATCCAACAATAAAAAGGAATGAAAGACTTGATGCTACACTATGATGAATTTTAAAATATAATGCTAACAGTGACCCAGGACTAGAACACAGGTAGTCTGTGTCTGAGCCATAAATACTTCTACCCAATTTTTCTTGATTTTCACATTGTCACCCCATTGTTTAGGAACATGCTAGTCACTCCTTACTGTTTAAGAGCATTTCGGTCCATCTCCCTTCATCATAACCTCTAGCCTTCTGTGTTGTGCCAACAGGATCAGCAAAGTGCAAAGGAAAGCTGTCAGCGCCATTCACAGCCTGTTAAGTTCTCACGACCTTGACCCGCGCTGTGTCAAACCAGAAGTGAAGGTCAAAGTCGCTGCCCTTTACTTGCCTTTGGTTGGCATCATCTTGGATGCTTTGCCGCAGCTCTATGACTTTACAGGTAACAGTTCCTTCTGTTTCCTCCTCTGGATTGACGGGGACCCTGTCCCGTGCTCCACTAGAATGAGGTTTCTGTCATTGGCTCCAGGGCGGATATGCTTAAGGGAACAGGTCTCCACACCATGCTCTCCACACCGTGCTCTCCAGACCTTTTTAAGGCCCCAATAAGTTTTATTTTCTTAAGGTACATAACCCTGTCTATGTTTTTATTTAAAGATTATTTATTTGTTCATTCATTCCTTCATTCATTGGTCTCATGGTGTATAATAACCTTTATAGACCATACACCACAAAGGACGAGATAATAACAAGATCACCCAACTTTGGAGATTCCTGCTTTAATGCCTTGAAATAAAGGTGTTCCTTACCTTCTGAGCAAAGACGCAGCCTCAAATGAACCTAAACAATTGTTACATGCAAAAAATATCCTGGTGTCTATCAGGATTAGGAAAGTCTGCCATGGGGGAGGAATTTTGCCTTTGGCACTAAGAAGTTGATTCTGAGGTCAGAAGTCAGTATCTCTCACATAGGAAGGGGAGAAAGGATAAATTATCTCAAAGGTTGGAGCATATTACAGTGTGGATTTGGAATGTAGGTGAACAAAACTACCCTATACCTGAGAAAAGCAATCCCATTGCCTACCCTCCCCACAACACACACACACACACACACACACACACACATTTCTGATCACTTCAGAGTGGTGCTTGCTTTTCCCCAAACTCAAGGGAAGTTCTTAGAAATGACCATGCTGCTCTCTTGACTGATGAAGGATCCTGGGGTCTGAGGAATGCTTACATCAGCCCAGCATTCTTGTGGGCAATCATCCTTGGAATCTTAGAACCACCAAAGTTCTTGCTTCCTCTAAATGCAAAGTGTCGTGTGTGATTTAATTATTTCTAAGATCATTATGGTGATAATTATTTAGCTCAGAAAATGAGCAAAAAAATAACGGGCAAGGAAATTACAGAAGCAAGCTTGGCACACAGGGTGAGTGGGCGGCAGGAGAATGTAGAGCTTCCTCTGGGTGTGCCTGACCGGAGGGCAGATAGAGAACAGAGTCATCTTCAAAATTTGAAGATGTGGCTCAGAGCAGGGCAGGTGTCTTGCAGACCATTTCTAGAATTTTGTGTGAAAGTTTCTAGAAAGTTTCATTTGAAGACCCATGATTGGTTTGTTTCCAAAGCAGGGAACCACTTTATCACACATTCTCCAGAGATTCCTTGTTGATTAGAATTTTCCAAATTAGTTATTTGGGATCAAAACTTTTTAGCAATTCGCTTTTGAATCTTTTATGTCTTGACTATTTCTTTACATATGCATTGAACTTTATGGTCATAATGAGCTGACAAGTGGGAAAACAATAAAAAGTATTCTATTATTAATATGGTATAGTATCTATTGTATATGTAATCTTTAAATTGATAAACTAATAAGAATATAGTCTTTAGAAAGAGATACAGCTGAATTCAAACTGCAGCCCATTTATTACTATATGTGATCTTTGATGAGATCCTCAACCTTTTCTCAGATGTAAAAACTATAATGGTGCCCACATCATAGATGAAGTGAGAGAACATTTTGTATAGCAAGTGTTTAGATCCTTCCTTCCTTGTCTTATAACTATGAAACTGTGCATATTTAGAGGGAGAAAGAATGTATCCTCAAATATCCCTATATTACCAGATCTTGTATCATTTCCATGTGCTATTCATTTTACCATTTGTTTAAAGACCCAATTGCCTTAAAATACAATAGTGAATTATTATTTTTAAAAATTGAGTTCTTAAACTGCATCCTTTTTTCAGAATGTTAGCAGATGAAAATACTGTTCTCACTGTACTTTAAAAAAATTGAAGGTCCAATACGGATAATGTTGACTGGTCTAATAAAATGAGTTTTTAATGGATCAATCAGGTGCAAGTGTTTTAATACACTTTTCTAAGAATTTTCTAAATACTTTATGTGTGATTGGTAGTGTTTTTAAAAACCAACCTTTTTTTACTTGCCTATATCTAGACCTATGTATAAATATAGATATGTCTATATTACATAGATACAATAAATTAACATTCATTTCAAAACATTTAAAAATAAAGTATTGCTGAATTTGTGATAATAGCTTGTTATTCTATAAGGTATTAATTAATTCTGTAATTATAGGCTCCTTTCTATTTAGTTATTATTTAAAATATATGAATACATTTTTAAATGTTATAGAAAAGTGTTATGAAAGTTCTGAAAATTTTTATTTTAACAACTAGAAAAATTAATTTCTAGCATAATCTTGAACTGGACGTTCTGTCTCTTTTATTATAAGCCTCCCCCCTTTCCCCTATAGACAGTAGCAGATAAATAATGTAAACATCAGGTTTAAAATTACTGTGATGACTTTAGTGACTGATAAGGATCAGGTACACATTGGATATTGGGTTTAGGACATAAGAAATCACCATCTTTGACTTGACATTACCAAAGATATTTTTTTAATTAGTGTTTTGGGTTTCTTTTTTTAAATTTAAATTCTTTATTGTTTAAAATATTACATACGC